TATTATTTACACAGCTTTTGTCAAAGTTGGCGGATTTTCTGAATGGTTGAGAAATATCCTCTAGCAGTATCTAATTATTCGCGGGAAACTAACGACACGTGTAGTGCACCACGTGCAGATTACATGCACTTGTTCCGTGACCCAGTTAACGGAGATATTCCATGGCCAGGTTTGGTCGGAATAACAATCAATTCAATATGGTACTGGTGCTCAGATCAGGTAAATGAATCATGTCGTTCTTATTGTGTTTAATTAAAACAAAAACTGAACAGTTAATAGTATATACATATATATAGTCTGGTCTCCATCCACAACAGTCTGGTCTCCCTGCACTCGCTGACCTCCCTGGCGGTCTGTGCAGTCAAACATGAATTATAAAAAGACTGGAACAAAACTGAAATGTTTGAAAAACCTAGTCATTTTACATAATATGACAAAAGCAGGAGTGTGAATATTAAAATAAATTTTTGTAAAATATTTTTAAGTATAATATTTTATAATACCTAATTGTGACATAAGACATTAAGAGGCGTGACATTCCATTTGTGCTCTTCGTGTAGTCTTAAATATACTTCTAAACAAAATAAAAATAGATTGCGTTAATATTTCATTTATTGTTATTATTTTTCATATATTATATAACAATAGTGCTTGAATGAACAACTAATGTTTTGATATTACATCAACTATTGCAGGTGATTGTACAGCGAGCTCTTGCCGGTAAAACTTATGACCATGCCAAAGCCGGTACAATCCTGTGTTCATACATCAAAATTTTACCACTCTTCATGCTCGTGTTTCCTGGAATGATTGCCCGCATTCTTTTCCCTGGTACCATTTTAATACCTTTCATATTGCATTCTTGTGTGCGTGCGTGCGCGTGTTTGTCTTAAAACTTTAACCTCGACCATTCCGTCTACGGCGATGAGCTCTACCTGCCAGACCCACTTAAAGGTCATAGTGTCAAAGATCAAGGTCACCACATGGCCAAAGTCACTAGAGAAATGGCTTCATTTGAACGTAGCACTTGTTTTCTAACTGACATCATACTGTTCTGTTTTTATTTATATGTCACATTTTAACTACGGTAAATTAAATGACAGACATGTATTGTCTACACAAGTACTGAATGTATACATACATAATTTTACATCATCAGTTTTTGATATGTTCTCATTAGTGTTTTAAAGCTTTAAACGCCTTAATTAAATATGAAATGAAAGATTGTGTCTACGTTCTGTTGTACTGTACTGGACTGTACTGAACTGTACTGTACTGTGCTGTGCTGTGCTGTACTGTACTGTACTGTACTGTACTGTACTGTTCTGTACTGTACTGTACTGTACTGTACTGAACTGTACTGTACTGTACTGTACTGTACTGTTCTGTTCTGTTCTGTTCTGTACTGTACTGTACTATACTGTGTACTATACTGTACTGTTGAGAAACGAGTATTTTCGCAGAACTTTATAACTTATGATTATTATACGAATTCTACCGGTTTTTTATTTAAGACGAACTTTTCTTGCATATCAGACTGGCGTTTCCGTGAGTTCTACCCATGCCGGAACTTTCATCTGGCATGGGGGTTCCAGATGAGTCGCGTGCTGTACAATGGCACGGCTAGGATGACGTCATTTTATCGTCATGAATTAAGTTGTAATTCATACGCTGTTGTAAGAAAGTAGTTTCGGTTGTTATGATATAAATTTTCATTGAAAATAAAGATAAAGAATTTAAAATATAATGGAATATGGTAGAATATGCAAGAAAAAACATCTGACATATGTTTGCAGTTCGGATCGGAATATCCGTCCCTCGTTAACCCGCCCATGGGCGGTAACTCGGCAAGCCTCGTTACCGCCCAATGGGTAACCTCGGGACGGATATTCCGATCCGAACCGCAAAATATAACAGATATTATTAGTATATCTGCCCTTGTTTCGTCTGTTAAAAAATTATAGTCTTGGAAAAAAGTTCTACGTTCTAAATACCTCCATCAGCAGAACGGACAACATTAGGCATTATATTTCTTATCACTGGTTACAATCTGGTCAAAACGTTGGCTAAGTTAAGTTTTTATGCTCCCCGAAAAAAATTCGGGGGAGCATATAGTCGCCGCCTTGTCCGTCCGTCCGTCCGGCCGGCTTTCCGACGGTCCGTCCCCTTTTCTTGTCCGGGACATAACTTTGAAACAACAAGAGGTATCAACATGAAACTTTGTAGGTAGATAGATCTCATTGAGTAGGTGTGCAGTGCACAAGAACCGTAACTCTGCCTTGCCTATTTTTTGAATTATTCCCCTTTGTTTATATGTACACTTTGAACTTTGTCCAGGACATAACTCTAAAAGTATAAGAGGTTTCAACATGAAACTTTGTAGGTAGATAGATCTTATTGAGTAGGTGTGCAGTGCACAAGAACCGTAACTCTGCCTTGCCTAATTTTTTAATTATCCCCCTTTGTTTATTTTACACTTTGAACTTTGTCCGGGACATAACTCTAAAAGTATAAGAGGTATCAACATGAAACTTTGTAGGTAGATAGATCTCATTGAGTAGGTGTGCAGTGCACAATAACCGTAACTCTGCCTTGCCTAAATTTTTAATTATCCCCCTTTGTTTATTTTACACTTTGAACTTTGTCCGGGACATAACTCTAAAAGTATAAGAGGTATCAACATGAAACTTTGTAGGTAGATAGATCTCATTGAGTAGGTGTGCAGTGAACAAGAACCGTAACTCTGCCTTGCCTAAGTTTTGAATTATACCCCTTTGTTTATTTTACACTTTGAACTTTGTCTGGGACATAACTCTAAAATCATAAGTGGTATCAACATGAAATTTTGTAGGTAGAAAGATCTCATTGAGTAGGTGTGCAGTGCACAAGAACCGTAACTCTGTCTTGCCTCATTTTTGAATTATTCCCCTTTGTTTATTTTGACACTTTGAACTTTGTCCAGGACATAACTGTAAAACTATAAGAGGTATCAACATGAAACTTTGTAGGTAGATAGATCTCATTGAGTAGGTGGGCAGTGCATAAGAACTATAACTCTGCCTTGCCTAATTTTTTAATTATCCCCCTTTGTTTATTTTCACACTTTGACTTTTGTCCAGGACATAACTCTAAAAGTATAAGAGGTATCAACATGAAACTTTGTAGGTGGATAGATCTCATTAAGTAGGTTTGCAGTGCACAAGAACTGTAACACTGTCTTGCCTACTTTTGGAGTTATTGCCCTTTGTTTATTTTGACACTTTGAACTTTGTCCGGGACATTAATCTAAAATTATAAGAGATATCTGAACATGAAACTTTGTAGATAGATAGGTCTCATTGGATGGAAGTGCAGTGCTTAAGAATCATTACTCTGCCTTGCCTTATTTTGAAGTAATTGCCCGGGACATATCTTTAAAACTATTAGAGATATCAACATGAAACTTTGTAGGTAGCTAGATATAATTGGATAGAACTGCAATGCTTAAAGAACCTAAACAAAGCCTGGTCTAATTTTGGAGTTATTGCCCTTTGTTCATTTTTACACTTTGAATTTTACCAGGGACATAACTCTGATATCATCAGGAAACTTTATACATAGATAGATCTCATTGAATAGAAGTGCAGTGCAAAAAAAACATAACTCCGCCTTGCCTAATTTTGGAGTTTTTGCCCTTTGTTCATTTTTTTTATACTTTCCTGTGTCCAGAACCTTCTCGGGAAGCATCACCCGGTTCAACCGGTTCTTGTTTTAACCCTGCGGTGTCCTTTTCAAAAAAATATAAATTAAAATTTTCAGAAACTGTTGGATGTGCTGACCCAGATATATGTATGGAAGTATGTGGATCACCTTCAGGATGTTCTAACGTTGCCTATCCTCAACTTGTCATCAACTTAATGCCTCCAGGTTAGTTCTTATTTACCAGCCGTCATGACCGAATAGCTAATGTTGATAACGTTTCATTGAATCAATAACTTATCATACTTGTAAATTCAAACACACATTTCTGTCAGATTGGAAGATAGTAACTCAGCATACGGAACATCAGCAATTCTAGGTGCTTGTATCTGAACGTATGTACTAGAGATTCTCCCCCATTGGTTAAGATAATTCCATGCAAAAGTGCAGTGAAGAAAATTCTGCAAAATTGTTTTAAGTATTGATGCTCAACATTGACACTTGTTTACTCTCTAATTCACAATTTCAGTAGTTTGTCTACTTGTTTTGACAATAATTTCACAAATTTCTAACATAAATGTATAAATAATTAGGAGAATGTAGCATTTACATATGTAAAGCAATAAACACTCCCCATGATTTTATTTTTTTACAAAAATTAATGTAGTAGGTAAACTAATACGGTTGTTGTTGTTGAAGGAGCCCGAGGAATGATGTTAGCGGTAATGTTGTCTGCTCTGATGTCATCATTGACGTCAATATTCAACAGCAGCAGTACAATATTTGCCATGGATATATGGACACATATACGATGTAAGGCTAGTGAACTAGAACTTATGATAGTTGGAAGGTGAGTCTTAATGTGAAAATAAAAATATCCTAACTGTATATTGTCCATTATTAATTTACATAGTTATACTAAATATTGAAGCAATAAATTGTTGTTTCTTAAGAAAGCATTAAAATATTTTAAGACTGCATTTATATTTTTATTAAAAAAAACACAAGCTTTGGAAAGCCATTTAACAGTTATCCTAGCAAAGTAGGCTGTTTAAGGTTTCTGATCTTGAAGCGTTTGCTCCTCACAGCAAGGGACATTGCATTATTAAATGTAAGGAAGCTATCCGGCTATCTTATGGAGGGTCCTTTGTTCAACTCTGGTGCCCGCTCTAGCCTTTTATAATATATTTGACGCCACAAAAACTAATATGAACTTAATATTGTTGGTACTTCCTGAACAAAAAAACAACAGAAAATAAACAAAAAAATCGCACACAAAACAACTTGAAAAGCCTTTGTATAATAGCAAGGAATAGCCGACAGATAAGAACTGAGAATGTATAAAATATTCGTTCTAGCTTTAAAAGAACTCCACTAAGATATTATTACCTAAAATAGAAAAGCATTCACTCAAAAAGAGCTGATAATCTATTAATCGATTTTCTATTCGTTTCGGACTATACATTTGTAGTTTTATTTATCTTTTTATATCTTTCCGTTTAAAGTGCTACTGTTAATCTATGTAAGGTTTTCAAATATTTATGTTTTAAGCCTTTTGGCCCGTAACGGAGCTTCTTAAAACCACAGTAACGCTGACGTTCCAGTATCATTTGTTTTAAATTTTCAGAGTTTTTGTAGTTGTGTTGGTAGTTATCAGTATTGTCTGGATCCCGGTATTACGTCATGCCAGTGCACAACTGTACGTTTATATACAAGAAGTCTCTAGTTTTTTACAGCCCCCTATATGCTGTATATTTCTACTGGCCATTTTCTGGCCGAGACTTAACGAGAAGGTAACAGTGATATTATACATTTATTGTATCTTTTCAATTTTCATTTACAGACCGCACATACAGCTGGCTATAGTTAAATTGGAAAAAAATAAAGGTTAATCCATTCATATACTAAAACATACATTAATTTTATCATTTATTAATTTAATGATTGAAAGAACGTTTCAAATGGTATTTTATGTGGAGCGAATTGTCATTAATTTGAGATGGATTACCACTAAAAATGGGCGAATCGTCAGTTAAACTAGTTAGTTAAAAAAGTTAGACATAACGTACTAGGTTTGCTCCAGAATTTTTAATGTAGGAGGAAATGATGATGTCTTTAACAATGTTATTATACCCAAGATGATGGAAATGCCTCATTAGCAGATTGATTTGTACAGGTTTTGTGTATGTTTTGGTTCGAATCTTTTCTGATACATTCATTTTTTGAGGGTGAATCAGCTATCCCTCAAGCCTAAGAAATATGATTGGTTCTACCCAGGTGCGCGAGTCGTGGGAAGTGATCTTTTGAACACTTATAGAGACGGTAATATCAATGGCAATTAACAATTGAGCTAAATAATTTGATACCCTGTACAATTATTTGAAAATACCTATTAAAATATATGCAAAGAGCAATAATGCGGCATAATTCTGTACATACATATTTTGAAGTTTCTGATTTCGTGCTTCAAACAGATTCAGTTGTGGATGATAATGGATGCTAAGCTACAACCTTTGATGGAAACTCGAAATAGAATGTTTGAAAATGATTTGTTGCAAAATTATGATTATACGTTAACATATCCAAATTCAGTAACACTAAAAATATTGCGTTACCTGTAAATGGCTACCGGGCTATTAACCGTGTATTAAAGACCACGTGACTGTCAACAGTTGTTATGTTTTTAGGGAGCATTCTTCGGTCTTGTGACAGGGATGCTTGTGGGAATAGCACGGTTTATAGGAGAGTATGCTTACGGTAAAGTTTCATGTGGTGAAGACCCTACAAGTGTTCCAGCAATCATCAGAAACTTTCATTACCTATATTTCTCCGTCTTCTTGTTTGTCTTGACTGGAATAGTGGCTGCTCTCATCTCTTTGTGTACCAAACCTATAGACGAGCGCTGTGTAAGTTAATTTACATTTATTACCATTTTCATCTCTCTTTTAATATATTATTAAACAAGTGCTACGGGACATTGTAAGTTGCCCAAAAGTCAGTGTTGAAATATTTTTGGCCCTTTGGTATAATCGATTCCAATTCTTTCAGTGTTAATTTGACTGCACAAAGTTGTTTGTTTTGTTATGTTTTTAACATGGCGGGACTGGTCGTATTTTTGTTAAGTTGGTATATTTTTTGATATAGGTCAATACTAATTACTAATGTGCAAAATTTCACAACACTCGCTTAGATTGTTCAGCCGAAGTTAACATTTTTTGCCACGGTGTATTTTCTTAGAAACTATAGAAACTTTACATTTTAAACTTGATATGCATGTTAACTATCGAAGTATGACATCATTTCACAGGGCAGATAATCCTAAAATCCATTTTTGCAAAGTTATGCCCCCTTTTTACCTATTTATTTCTTCTTAGGTCAATTTCTCAAAATCTGCCAAAGTTAATCACTTCAAACTTTTAGTACTTGTCCAATTTATAAATTGGAATGCATTTCTAAAGGGAAGGTAACGTTATTATTTTTTTTAATAATAATACCCACTTTTTACTTATTTTTGTTTATGTACATTTCTCAAAAAATATCAAAGACATACACCTATTGAACTTGAGTACTTGTTCACTATTTTATTTGAAATGCGTTTTTTAAAGGGGCAGATAAGCCTTAAAGCCATTTTGCTTAATAATTCCCCCTCTCTACGTTTATTTTATTGAACTATCCAGCAGTGGGAAAAGTTGAGCTGCTGTCTATGGACAGGTCTTGATTAATTATACTACTCTTCATGTATGCCAGTTTACAGGAGTATTCAAATACTTCTTTAAAAGAAGCCTTAAAATTTATGTCATTGTGTTATTTTTGTCAAATAAAAATATGCAAGCAAGTTTTCTTTTATTAGCTATATAGGTTAACTTTTTGGAGCCGTCACAGTAAAGAACCTAGGATAAACATAGACACGTGGTTGGCAGACAAACGTATATCTAGCGGAACCGGAAGTGAGACGTCGGTACAGTCACAGGAACAAGAACTGAAAATGCTTAAATCAAATAAAGAAAACGGTTAGTGATCATGAAAACTCGACAAAAATGAGCTCGAGTATTAGTCAAATGGATGAAAAACTAGGTCACATGACACGAAAATAGAAAAAAATAATCTTGTTAACACTCTAGAGTCTACTTTTTTATTCCAAGTTCATATATGGGTCATCTGAGGTCAAAAACAAGGTCAAACAGCCCAAATATGGAAAAACATAGTCAATACTCAAGAGGTAACATTTTTAGCCCAAATATCCTGGAAATTAGTAAGAAAGGTCGTCTCAAGTTAAATATGTGTCATCTGGGGTCAAAAAAAATTGTCACAGAGCTCAATTAGGGAAAACCTATTGTTAACAATCTTGTTGTACAATTTTCAGCCCAAGTATCCTAAGGTTATTTCTATGATTTCTAGCTCAAGATTGTATATTGTCATCTGGGGTCAAAAAGACTTTGTTTTTATAATTTCTAGATCAAAATTGCTTATGGATCATTTGGGGTAAAAAAACCTAAGTCACAGGCACCTTATATCAAACACCTTTGTAAAATATTTTGAGGTTACATTTTCAGTCGAAATATCTTGGAAATTTGTCAGAAAGGTTGTTTAAAAATGTTTAGGTCAAGCTCGAATATTGGTCATCTAGGTTTAAAAAGGTCACTGTGCCCAAAATATGGAAAAAGCACTTGTTTTATAAACAGCTATAAAATTTGGATCATGTGTACATGTGTATAGTTTGAGATACATAATGGAAATTGTGAAATCAGCTGACGTAGATTTTAACCTGGTGACCTACTAATTTTGTTTTGGAAAGTTATGAAATTTGGAAAATCTTGACAAGTTCTTCATAAATGCACCACATGTGTGTTGTATGTTTGGTACACCATATGTTTTCCATATGTAAGATTAACATGTGTAAACAGGACCATATGAAAACATGTGCCAACAGACATATGTTTAACATGTTTTTCATATGAATAAGTTTTCATATGATAAAAAATATGTGAACTTTCATGTGTTTTTCATATGATAAATTTATGATTATATATTCTTCAAGTAGTCTTAATTAGATTCTACATGATTATACATAATTCTTAAAAATATTCTTTGTTCATGCACCTATTTGCAACTTATGGTTATGGGGAGAATAGTCTGCCATTCATTTTTATTCATGATTTTTTCTCCCTTTGTATATGTTAATGTTTATGTGAAATTTTAACAATCAAGAACCCAAAACGAAGTGACCCGTAGGGAATGACCATCATATCAAAAATATGGATTTATCAATTTTGTAAGTTCCAAAAAGCATTATTTATAAAAAATATAACAATAACGAATTTTACAGTTCATGTAAATAAAGGGAGGATAAAAAAAAGTTTATTTTTTCAAATTTTCCATTAAGAAATGAATGCATATATTTTAGTGATTACATATAACATGTTCAAATATTTGCAGTACATATTTTACATATTCTTCGATGTTTGAAAATTGCTTTATATGCATAATTATATACATATATATTATTTCACTTAACTATACTGTTTAACACTTGAAATCCTTTCTTCGGTCATTCGCACTGTACCTCTGCTCTGGCATGTACAGAAGTTTCAGTTCCTTGTGAAAGTGAAGGCAACTAGTACTGGTAAACTGCTTGACAGCCTGCCCAGAAATAATGCGGTGGTTGAACTGTGCTCTGGTGAATTTAATGTGGCTTACTGTCGTGATCCGGAGTGTCAAACTACCAACACACAGTGATTAACACTGGAATTATCAAACTCTTGAACACAAGTTACTATATGTAACCAAAAACATGATTCTATTTTCAATAGAAAAGAATCAATATGTGAAAAACATAAGTCTATACCATAAATGTAACATACAGTTCCTTTTCTTGGAGAAACACTGTTTCCTACCATATGAAAAACATATGTTATGCATGTGTATCCATATGAAAAACATGTGTTTGCACCATATGTAAAACAGATGGGGTACTTTTCTTGGAGACACATGATTTCTAGGTCAAGTTTTAATATGGGTCACCTGGGGTCAAAAACTAGGTCACACTGCTCAAATACGGAAAATCTTTGTTAACACTCTTGTGGTCACATTTTTGACTCACCTGTCAAGAAACTTGGTCAGAATGCTTGCCTAGGTTATTGTTCGAATGAGTTCGATGGGTCAAGTGAGCGATCTAGGGCCATCTAGCTTGAACCCCCCTTGTTGTATGTATACAGCTATAGTTTTGAAATTTGAAACAAATACGCAGTACATGTATTAGATGCTGAACTGAAGTTTGATATCAGATGATTATTACCTTGTGTCTGATTTTATGCTCCACGAAGGGAGAGCATATAGTCGCCGTCATGTCCGCTCTTCCCTCCGTCACAATCTTGATCGGGGAATAACTTGGAAAAGTATTGAAGAAATTTGATTGAAACTTTACACATTGATAGAGACCATTGATAGGAAGTTCACTGTTAATGAATCATACTCTACCTTGCTTAGTTTATTTAATTATCTTCCATAAGTAATAAATGCTTGTCCGGGGTATCATTGATATCTCATTTAAACTACATACAGAGACTAGAAATAGAAAGGGCAGTGTCAAAGAACCATGTAACTCTACACTGCTTAGTTTTAGAATGATCTCCCTTTACAATATTTAATAATGCTTGTCCAGAAAATGATATTTTTCTGCCTATATAATACTTAATAATGTTTGTCTGTAGAATAACTTGAAAAGTATTATAGGAGGCATTTGATTAAAACTTCACACAATGATAAATACCAAGGGAAGTGTGCTGTTAAATGCATAATTTTACTGCACTTAAGATTTTTATTGTTTCAGTTTATGATACTTAAAAATGTTAAATAATGTTTGTCCGGAGAATCAATGTTGTGTATGAGTGTCAAAGAACCAGAACTCTACATAATTTAGTTTTAGAATTATCTCCCTTCATAATATTTAATAATGCTTGTCCAAAGTATTGAAGATTTTTACTAAAACCACACATAGTTATGGAGATTAGTAAACGAAAATGTAGCGTACAAAAGCCATAATTTTGCGTGACAGTGGGATCAGCGTCTGAAAAACTATCATTAGAACTCTACATCGTATAACTTTAGACTTGACTAAAGATAAAAAGAATCTTGCTGCAATCAGCTACTGACAACTGATATTGAATATAAACTTTTACAATTTCAGGATCTGTGATAGCAGACGATACGACAGACACTCTCATAAAAGAAGAAAAAGAAACGGGATTAAATAAAGTTAATTTTGATCATACTAAAGACCCCGAGGTGCTTGAAGTTGTATTTACTAAGAAAGGTAAAACATGATTATTGTTAGCCCAAATACTTACCTTTAACGCTAGTAAATGTATCCAAGAAAAAAGTACCACTTTAAATGGAATATAATCATGTCAAGTTTTGAAACTTTTCATGGGCTTATCAATTAAATCAAAATTAATATAATATTGATAAATAAATAATGCCAGTATATATATATATAACACATAGGTTTGAGGTCTGTATAGATGATGGCAATCTGTTGTTAACTAACATTTGTGTTATTTTATTACCCTGGTCAAATTCTGCAATGATCTAATATCCTCATCTAGATCTAACAATATTAAACCAGCTCAACTCTCATTACCTTGCGCTGTTGAACTTGAAAGTTTAATTATTATTTGAGCATATGCTAGTTTCTGCCGGTCAAATATCACAAATAAACTCACTGATACAGTTTACGAGTTGTACATCAACTTTATACATTCCATCTTGACCATGCGAAACATGAAAATAAAGTTTTAAAAGGTCTGTCTCCACACGTCACGGTATTTGACTTTTAATTGTAGCAGTTAACTTGATGGTGAATTAATTTTATATCATGAAAGTTGTATTATACAGGACAAGTTACATGGTACCGACGTGTAGGTAACTGGATTTGTGGATTAGAAAACATGGAGCAAACCATTCATAAACAGGTATAACATACATTATATGTTCCATGACAAAAATACTTATTTTAAACAGTACATTTAGAGTTTGTAAATTCTGCCATTTAGCTTAAAATTCTGGTTTCCGACTCTGTATTTGTTCCTCGAGCTGGTTACCTGCCTTGTTATGGCTACAGTAAGGAAAGTGAAAAAATAAATTTGTTGATTACTAGCTAGTTTATATTTAAAAATGCCATACAGTGCCGTATAACAGCAACACAGTATGAACTTACTCTGACAGTTTTACTGTTTTTCCCAAACATTTGCATAATTTACCATTACTATATGTTCAGGTTTGTCTGTCTGTCATGTTCATATATTCAACATATTCGGCTTTAAATTACATGTACACGATTGTTAAATTACCATATAAAGAAATTTTGGTGAGCAAAATCTTACAATTGTTAAAGCCTTATAACAAGAAAGGTTTTAACATTAAAGCATTTTGTTCGGTCACTGTTCGAATGTTTTTTTATGCCTCCGCCATGTAATGGCCGGGGCATATAGTGTTACCCTGTTCCGTCATTCCGTCCTTCCGTCATTCCGTCCTTCCGTCATTCTGTCATTCCGTCATCATCAGTTTCCGTTCATTATCTTAGTAATGGTTGCACACATTCAACTCAAATTTGACATAATGATATGTCATGAGAAAATACAGGTCAAGTTCAAATTAGGTCATGGTTCGATGATTTTTGGCAGAGTAATGCCCCTTTTACTTTGAAAATAACATGAAATTTTCAGTTTCCGTTCATTATCTTAGTAACGGTTGCACACATTCAACTCAAATTTGACATATGGATATGTCATGAGAAAATACAGGTCAAGTTCAAATTTGGTCATGGTTCGATGATTTTTTGCAGAGTTATGCCTCTTTTACTTAAAAAATAATATGAAATTTTCAGTTTCCGTTCATTATCTTAGTAACGGTTGCACACATTCAACTCAAATTTGACATATGGATATGTCATGAGAAAATACATGTCAAGTTTGAATTTGATCATGGTTCGATGATTTTGGCAGAGTTATGCCCCTTTTACTTTGAAAATAACATGAAATTTCCAGTTTCCGTTCATTATCTTAGTAACAGTTGCACACATTCAACTCAAATTTGACATATGAATATGTCATGAGAAAATACAGGTCAAGTTCGAATTTGGTCATTGTTCGATAATTTTTGGCAGAGTTATGCCCCTTTTACTTTGAAAATAACATGAAATTTTCAGTTTCCGTTCATTATCTTAGTAACGGTTGCACACATTCAACTCAAATTTGACATATGGATATGTCATGAGAAAATACAGGTCAAGTTCGAATTTGGTCATGGTTCGATGATTTTTGGCAGAGTTATGCCCCTTTTACTTTGAAAATAACATGACATTTTCAGTTTCCGTTCATTATCTCCCCAACGGTACAACACATTCAACTCAAACTTGACATCTGGATATGTCATGAGAAGATACAGGTCAAGTTCGAATTTGGTCATGGTTTGATGATTTTTGGCAGAGTTATGCCCCTTTCACTTTGAAAATGATATGAAATCTTCAGTTTCCGTTCATTATCTCCCCAACGGTACAACATATTCAACTCAAACTTGACATATGGATACGTCAAAGGAATGCGCAGGTCAAGTTCAAATTTGGTCATGGTTCAATGATTTTTGGCAGAGTTATGCCCCTTTCACTTTAAAAATAATATGAAATTTTCAGTTTCTGTTTATTATCTCCACAATGGTACAACACATTCAACTCAAATTTGACATATGGATATGTTTTTGGAATGCCCAGGCTAAGTTCGAATTTGGTCATGGTTCAATGATTTTTGGCTGAGTAATGCCCCTTTCACTTTGAAAATAATATGAAATTTAAAGTTACTGTTCATTATCTACCCAACAGTGTTACATATTCAACTCAAATTTGACATATGGATATGTCAAAGGAATGGGCAGGTCAAGTTGGAATTTTGTCATGGTTCGATGATTTTTTGGCAGAGTTATGTCCCTTTCACTTTGAAAATAATATAGATACATCTTAGGAATAAGCAGTTTAAGTTTGAATTTGGTCGTGGTTCAATGATTTTGGACAAACTTATCTTTCTTGAATGTTGGAAAAATTTTGAACTTTCAGTTTCAGCACTCGTACTTTTGTTGAAATGTATGAAGCCATTATTTTGGCTACCAATATGAAATATGCTATTTTCAAAAGGTTAAGACTTAATAATTTCAGTGCCTTCAACATTGTATGAAAATGGTTTGTGTTAACATTGAAAAGTTTTAAGGGCTTTGAACTTAAAATGAAAAAAATAATTTGTGCAAACAAATTTGGAACTAAATATTATAACATCTGAAATTTTGGCTGCATGCGGGGGCATCCGTGGCATGATGACACATTTCTAGTTTGTTGTTGTTTTTTTTTGTTAACAAATAATTAAAATCACGATTTTATGCAAAATATTAAGAAAAGGAAGACAAAAATAAAACAAAACATTACAGCATTAAATAACAATTATGAATAACAATTACCTATATATTTCCTTCAGGTAGAGCGTGGTGATATGTTGAATAACAATTACCTATATATTTCCTTCAGGTAGAGCGTGGTGATATGTTGAATAACAATTACCTATATATTTCCTTCAGGTAGAGGGTGGTGATATGTTGAATAACAAATACCTATATATTTCCTTCAGGTAGAGCGTGGTATGTTGAATAACAAATACCTATATATTTCCTTCAGGTAGAGCGTGGTGATATGTTAAATAACAATTACGTATATTTTATCTTCAGGTAGAGCGTGGTGATATGTTAAATAACAATTACGTATATTTTATCTTCAGGTAGAGCGTGGTGATATGTTAAATAACAATTACGTATATTTATCTTCAGGAAGAGCGTGGTGATATGTTAAATAACAATTACGTATATTTTATCTTCAGGTAGAGCGTGGTGATATGTTAAATAACAATTACGTATATTTTATCTTCAGGTAGAGCGTGGTGATATGTTAAATAACAATTACGTATATTTTATCTTCAGGTAGAGCGTGGTGATATGTTAAATAACAATTACGTATATTTTATCTTCAGGTAGAGCGTGATGATATGTTAAATAACAATTACGTATATTTTATCTTCAGGTAGAGCGTGGTGATATGTTAAATAACAATTACGTATATTTTATCTTCAGGTAGAGCGTGGTGATATGTTAAATAACAATTACGTATATTTTATCTTCAGGTAGAGCGTGGTGATATGTTAAATAACAATTACGTATATTTTATCTTCAGGTAGAGCGTGGTGATATGTTAAATAACAATTACGTATATTTTATCTTCAGGTAGAGCGTGGTGATATGTTAAATAACAATTACGTATATTTTATCTTCAGGTAGAGCGTGGTGATATGTTAAATAACAATTACGTATATTTTATCTTCAGGTAGAGCGTGGTGATATGTTAAATAACAATTACGTATATTTTTCCTTCAGGTAGAGCGTGGTGATATGTTAAATAACAATTACGTATATTTTATCTTCAGGTAGAGCGTGATGATATGTTAAATAACAATTACGTATATTTTATCTTCAGGTAGAGCGTGATGATATGTTAAATAACAATTACGTATATTTTTATCTTCAGGTAGAGCGTGGTGATATGTTAAATAACAATTACGTATATTTTATCTTCAGGTAGAGCGTGGTGATATGTTAAATAACAATTACGTATATTTTATCTTCAGGTAGAGCGTGGTGATATGTTAAATAACAATTACGTATATTTTATCTTCAGGTAGAGCGTGATGATATGTTAAATAACAATTACGTATATTTTATCTTCAGGTAGAGCGTGGTGATATGTTAAATAACAATTACGTATATTTTATCTTCAGGTAGAGCGTGATGATATGTTAAATAACAATTACGTATATTTTATCTTCAGGTAGAGCGTGATGATATGTTAAACGTGACTGAGAAGAGAATATGGAAGATTGTATCTAACATTAGTGCTGTTATAAGTATGATTCTGATGCTGTTTCTAGCTATATATTTCGCTTAAAGAGACTTACTACAACTGAAGCTATAAGGACCATAACATGCATGAAGAATTCGCTTTTTACTCTGTAGTTGTATGATTAAAACTGATACATGTAAGAACTTAAATACCAGCAAGAAATAAAAAATTAAAGCAGTGAAGACCCACTGAATAAAGGAGAAAGTAAAAAAATATTTTCGGTTCGGTACCTTGCCGTTTTAGTGAATAGACGTTGTTATGTGTTTAAAGTGTTTGGAGTGTTTAACTTCAGAAAAATCATTTATATCTCTATGATTGATTTTAATATTTGAAAAATGTTGAAGAGTGAAGTGTCCTTTCAACGATGTAACTGAAGATATGATGACAAATATGGTTTCGAAATGGTTTTAAATATGCATATAACACTTTATCTTGATCTTTCCCTTGATTGATATAATTGTGATTTCCTGATTTTATCCAATATTTTAGAATGAAAGCATGTGCTTCTTTTTTATAGGCCTTTACTAACATGCATTAAATGTTTACATTTCGCAAGCAATAGCCATAGTGCTTGAATTGTTTCATTCTAAAACAGGCGTGGAAAATTCGTTTTCTACTAGGAGGTGTCGTATGTGTCCTCATGTGGCACCTTAAAGTGAATTGCTGTATGATGAATGGTCTGTTATACAATAATAATTATGTTGATAATATAGACGTGTAGCCACGTGTGACAATAACATAGATGTTCAGTCACGTGTGACATTAACATAGACGTGTAGTCACGTGTGACAATGACATAGATGTTCAGTCACGTGTGACAATAACATAGCTGTTCAGTCACGTGTGACAATATCATAGATGTTCAGTCACGTGTGACAATAACATGGATGTTCAGTCACGTGTGACAATAACATAGCTGTTCAGTCACGTGTGACAATAACATAGCTGTTCAGTCACGTGTGACAATAACATAGATGTTCAGTCACGTGTGACAATAACATGGACGTTCAGTCACGTGTGACAATAACATAGCTGTTCAGTCACGTGTGACAGTAACATAGATGTTCAGTCACGTGTGACAATAACATAGATGTTCAGTCACGGATGATTGTGTGAGATAAACGACCGGTATTGCATATCTGTATATAGCAGATAATAAATAACTTGTTCCAGAGGAAAATATTATAATTCATCTTATAAATGTTCATAATAAATAACTTAGAACTTTCTTAATTTTTTCCAAGAAATATTTCATAAGAATATCTAAATGATGCTATTTTTTTTGTTTTATCAATAATTGAACTAATTCTGAGAAATGTTCATGCTCATTGTTGACCAATTCATTAAAGGTCATAAATGTACTTTATAAGATATCATATTTTTACATAAAACAGTGTTTTGTGAAGAGGCTGAAGCTCGTTATCTTCTGGTAACATAAGGCATGACATAATATTATTTGTATTGGTAGTGAATTTTTTTATTACATATTCACTCCATTTTAATGATGTTATTATAGACGGTGCATGTACAATATAAATTGTTGTAGTATCTATAATAGTTTCATTGTTGTTGAAACATGTTGATGATAAGTTACAATGATGGATAAATATTTATATACATATATTTATTTATATAGTGTTTACAATGTATAACTGTGTAATGTTCAAAACAAAACCAAGATAGTCAAATTGTATCATTACATATAGAATAATTAAGTCTCATAGCTGTAAACTAGTCAGTATTTATACCACTGCAGCTTTGTCATGTACAAGTGTTCGATGATATATCATCTGTTTGTCACGTACAAGTGTTCGTTGATATATCATCTGTATGTCATGTACAAGTGTTCGTTGAGTTGATATATCATCTGTTTGTCACGTACAAGTGTTCGTTGATATATCATCTGTTTGTCACGTACAAGTGTTCGTTGATATATCATCTGTATGTCATGTACAAGTGTTCGTTGATATATCATCTGTTTGTCACGTACAAGTCTTCGTTGATATATCCTCTGTTTGTCACGTACAAGTGTTCATTGATATAGCATCTGTTTGTCACGTACAAGTCTTCGTTGATATATCCTCTGTATGTCATGTACAAGTGTTCGATCATATATCCTCTGTTTGTCACGTACAAGTCTTCGTTGATATATCATCTGTATGGCATGTACAATAGTTTGTTGATATACATCTGTATGCCACGTACACGTCTTCGTTGATATATCCTCTGTATGGCATGTACAAGTTTTCGTTGAGATATCATCTGTATGTCATGTGCAAGAGTTCGATCATATATCTTCTGTATGTCACGTACAAGTCTTCGTTGATATATCATCTGTATGTCATGTACAAGTGTTCGATGATAAATCATCTGTATGTCACGTACAAGTCTTCGTTGATATATCATCTGTATGTCACATACAAGTGTTTGTTGATATATCATCTGTATGTCATGTACAAGTGTTCGTTGATATATCATCTGCATGTCACGTAATAGTCTTCGTTGATATATCATCTGTATGTCATGTACAAGTGTTTTTTGATATATCATCTGTATGTCACGTACAAGTGCTCGTTAATATATCATCTGTATGTCATCTACAAACGTTCGTTGATATATCATATGTGTGTCATCTACAAGTCTTCGTTAATTGATATATCCTCTGTATGTCATGTACAAGAGTTCGTTCATATATCATCTGTGTCATGTACAAGTGTTAGATGATATATCATCTGTATGTCATGTACAAGGGTTTATTGATATATTATCTGTATGTCATGCACTACTGTTTGTTGATATATCATCTGTATGTCATGTACAAGGGTTTATTGATATATTATCTGTATGTCATGCACTACTGTTTGTTGATATATCATCTGTATGTCATGTACAAGGGTTTATTGATATATTATCTGTATGTCATGCACTACTGTTTGTTGATATATCATCTGTATGTCATGTACAAGGGTTTATTGATATATTATCTGTATGTCATGCACTACTCTTTGTTGATATATCATATGTATGTCATGAACAAGTGTTCATTGATATATCATCTGTATGTCATGTACAAGGGTTCATTGATATATCATCTACAAGTCTTCGTTGATATATCATTTGTATATCATCTACAAGTCTTCGTTGATATATCATTTGTATATCATCTACAAGTCTTCGTTGATATATCATCTGTATGTCATGTACAAGTGTTCATTGATATATCATCTGTATGTCATGTACAAGTGTTCATTGATATATCATCTGTATGTCATGTACAAGTGTTTGTTGATATATCATTTGTATGCCATTGTATAACGTTCTTGAAGAAGAAAAAAACTGGCGGCGATGCTTTGTTGTAAAATAGTTGGCATTTACAAAATATTGTGTCGTATTGTCCCATTGATAAATTTCATTCTTTAATAAAACATTAAAATATAAATACTGCTCAATAACTTGTCATTATTTGTTTTAAAGAATTGTTGCATTTTTTTAATTGATTTTATAAAGAGGTACATAACAATTAGCTAGTATTAGATTTTATCATGTTCAGAGTATTAAAATGTTATTATTTTCTAGAAGTTTATCTTTAACATACGGGTATATCTGTCTGCAAATATTAACTGTCACAAAATGTGTCTTAATAGTTTGCTAGTCATTTATAATGCTTTAATAAATGTTATATATGAATATACAATCAATTCTCGGTAAAAATAAGTTGAACATTTCTTATCTGTTCTCATTTAAAAAGCATTTTTGACAAAGTTAATATTTTTTATAAATGGTAGTTTAGAAAACGCATTTAGCATTTCTAAGGAAACATCATAGTTTATTCAATAATAATAATATATTAGATATACATATGTAATGTGTATTCTATTATATAATTTATACAGTTCACTATTACATACTTAATGTGTACTATTATATACAGTATATTGTTCACTATTACATATGTATTGTGTACTATATCATATATACTGTTCATTATTACATATGTACTGTGTACTCTGTTATATATATTGTTTACTATTGTTATAAATTCTTCTCTCTCGTAATTTATAATTTCTACTAGTTCCATAATTTCACATATTTGCATAAAATAAACAATAACTGTTTTCCGTTCCATTTCACCCTTTATTTATTTGAAAGTGTCCTAAATTTCTAATCTACAATTAATATTTAAAGTTACAGAGTTTTTCTTCCTCACACATGGTTGATAAGTCACTGAGAATTTTATATCTAACTCTTAAGATCTCATTCTTGAAACTTCAATCTCGAATCCTGAATCTTGACTCTAGCTCTTACAATCTTACTCTTGCATTTTGAATCTTGTTCTTCAATCTTCAATCTAGACTCTTGAATATTGACCCCCCCCAGAAAATCTTGTCTCAGTATTTATATGAAATACCTTGACTCTCCATATTTGGAGGTTACCTTAGTGTTAATTGACAAATTTAAGCCTTCTATATTTATGACGACAAGTGTTGATCAAGTAACTGTACCAGAAACAAACAGACTGATCCCTGGAATATGTATGATGGTAACCAATGATTGAGTTCCCTAAACACAACAATTGCAGACCTCTTGTCCATTATTTATGCAGGTACCCGTTGACAGAGATACCAAACTAAAATCTCCCAGACTGATACACAGTCTAGCCCCAACAGATTTATAGTAATAAATAATGACAACAAATGAGGTCTCAATTCTCATACAAACTCAATCATTAAATCAAACCTTAACCAGGTGCCTTGCTAAAACTACAACACTCCCCCAACCTTAAAAAGCTTAATTGTCCCAATTAAGTTAACAACACCAAACAAAAATATAGAAATGAAACAAAACTCAGTGACTATTCAACCAATCTTACTCCCAAAATGAATAGAAGTTTAACAATAAAACATTCTCAATTAACATATGTACTCTGTATTTACTAAAATAGCATTATTCAAATATGAAATTCTAAGAAAATACTAAATCTACAGTAATGTTACTTCTTTTAACGACAATTTTTTTCTGACTACAATTACACATTGAATACTCAAACAAACTAATTAAAGTTCTCAAACAGTTGTTCAACTTTTAACACCGTGTTTTAATATCAAAACGAAACATATTTTGTCACTCAATTGTATAATATAATTGTTCTGTTGTCCCTTTTTTTATATCTCACAATATCCTAATTCAATCTTTCACACATTGTCTATTTCTTGCACACAAAGTCCTGGTGCCTATTTATTTCTTAATAAATTTTAACAAATGTGTAAGAATTCTTTAAAAGGCACAAACTGAATATAAAATTTGTTTGGTAGTCGTCTCTACCATAGAGTCTTAAGTGCCAAAATATTAAACTTAATATTTATATATAACATAATTGAAATTAGAAAATGGCACTGATTGTTAAACTGAAAATAAAACACTTTAAAATCCATTTTTAACCAGAATCACACAATAATATTCCAATTGAAAATAATCACAAATTAATATTCCAATTCAAAATGAATCACAAATTAATATTCCAATTTTGAAATGAATAACAAATTAATATTCCAATTCGAACGAATTACAAACTAATTCCAATTGCGTTTTATATCCAATACATATTTTTGTAAAAACAACGTTTAAAATTCCTCTCTTTTTTTTCACAATTTTCTTTACACTTTCATTTTTTTTTCCCAATAAAATTTTCCCTAAAACAATTTGAAGGGTCGAAAACCCCAAAATAAACGGGCAAAATTCGGGAGAAACTTTTTATCCCCAAAATTTTACCCCTTTTTAAACAAAACTTAATGAAAGGGAATTGTTTTACATTATTGATTCAAAAAGATCTTTAATTTTCTTGCGGGGTTAGGGGTATGGGGTTACCCTTTTTTCCTTTTTACCTCTTTTTTACTTTTTAAAAACCTGTTTCAGATTCAATTTTCGCCTTTGTCTTAGTTTTTTTATTTTAAATTTTTTGGGTTACTTTTGTTGAACCTACCAAATGTTTTATTCCCTTTTTTGGGTCATTTAATTTCCATATAAGGGTTTCAAACTTTTATAAACCCTAAATTTCCCAAGGGGCCCATTACTGCCCTTTTTTATAGTGCAAAACCCTGTCCATTGGGACCAACCCGGGTTTAAAAAAATTTGGAAATTCTTGCATTGCTTTTTAAATTTCAAACACTGTGTTTTAAAGCTTAAACCAATAAACGTTGCTTTTATTTTTGAAAAATTTTTTTGAAATTTCCCCAAAATGAGCGCCTGAAAAACAATAAATGGGGGGGGGATCCCAAAACTTCTTTTTTGTAAAACCCTTTGGAAAAATTAAGAAGGGAAAAGGCGTCCCTCTTTTGGGGAAAGGAAACT